TTTTCTCAAACACAATCCACCACAATTTATTCGGCATGACATAGATAATTTGAATAGCCCCTTAGTGATTAGAAAAACTGAATTTGTAATTTTAAAACTCCCAAAAAAGAAATCTCAGGCCCACATAGTTTCACTAGAGAATTCTATCAAATGGTTAAGGAAGAATTAACACCAATTTTATACAGTCTATACCAGGAAATAGAAAAGGAAGAGATACTTTCCAATTAATATTTTTATTGTGGTACAATATATCATTTTAATCTGCTATTTTAGCCATTTTTAAGTGTACAATATAGTGGCATTAAGTATATTCACAATGTTGAGTGACCATCACTATTTCTGGAACTTTCATATTCTAAACAGACACTCTGTATCCATTAAACAATAACGCCCTATTCTCCCCTCCCACTGGCCCCTGGCAACCATCATTCTACTTTCTGTCTCTATGAATTGGACTACTCTAGGTACCTGATATGGGTGGAATCATATAGTATTTGTCCTTTTGTGTCTGGCTTATTTCACTAAGCCTAATGTCCTCAAGCTTCTTCCATGTTATAACATGTGTCAGAATTTTCTTACTCATTAAGGCTGAATAATATTCCATTGTATATGTTTATACACACACACACCACACACACACACGCACACATTTTGTTTATCCATTCATCCATCAATGGATACTTGAGTTCCTTCCACCTTTTGGCTGCTGTAATGCTGTGATAACCACCGGTATACAAATATATCTTTGTATCCCTGCTTTTAATTACTTTGGTATAACCCAGAAGTAGAATTACATGTGGTAATTCTATGTTTAGTTTTCTTGTAGAACAGCCATACTGTTTTCCATAACAGCTGTGCCATTTTACATTCCCACCAACAGTACACAAGGGTTCCAGTTTCTCTTTTTTTTTTTTTGAGACAGAATCTCGCTCTGTTGCCAGGCTGGAGTGCAGTGGCACAATCTCAGCTCAATGCAACCTCTGCCTCCTGGGTTCAAGCGATTCTCCTGCCTCAGACTCCTGAGTAGCTGGGATTACAGGCACATGCCACCACGCCCAGCTAATTTTTGTATTTTAGTACAGATGGGTTTTCACCATGTTGGCCAGGATGGTCTCAATCTCTTGACCTCATGATCCGCCGGCCTCAGCCTCCCAAAGTGCTGGGATTACAGGCGTGAGCCACCACGCCTGGCCTATTTTGTTTTTTTGATAGCAGCCATCCTAATTAGGTGTGAAGTGGTATCTCATTGTGATTTTGATTTGTATTTTCCTAATGATTAAACACCTTTCTGTGGTCTTACTGGCCATTTGTATATCCTCTTCGGAAAAATATCTCTTCAAGTCCTTTGCCTTCCCCTACCCACCCCCACTTTTTTTTTAGTCAGGGTCTTGCTCTGACATTCAGGCTGGAGTCTAGTGGCACCATCCTGGCTCACTGAAGCCTCAAACTCCTGGGCCTTAAATGATCCTCCCACCTCAGCTCCTGAGTAGCAGAAACTATAGGTATGCACTACCACAGGAAGCTAATTTTTTTTTAAACATTTTTTTTAGAGACAAGATCTCATTATGTTGCCCAGGCTAGTCTCAAACTCCTGGCCTCAAGGAATCCTCCCACCTCAAACTCCCCAGTAGTTGGGACTACAAGCATGAGCCATGGTGCCCAGATTTTGCTCATTTTTTAATTGAGGCTGTATGCGGTGGCTCACGCCTATACTCCCAGCACTTTGGGAGGCCGAGGTGGGCAGATCACTTGGGGTCAGGAGTTCGAGACCAGCCTGGCCAACATGGTGAAACCCCGTCTCTCCTACAAAGACAAAAATTAGCTGGGTATGGTGGTGTGTGCCTGTAATCCCAGCTACTTGGGAGGCTGAGGCAGGAGAATTGCTGGAACCCAGGAGGCAGAGGTTGCAGTGAGCCGAGATCGCACCACTGCACTCCAGCCTGGGCGACAGAGCAAGACTCTGTCCCCCACCCCGCACAAAAAAAATAAATAAATAAAAATAATTGAGTTGTTTACATGTTGTTGAGTTTCAGGAGTTCTCTATATATTCTGGATATTGATCCCTTATCAGATATGTGATTTGCAAATATCGCCTTCCATTCAGTCAAAGGGTTGCCTTTTTGCTCTGTTGATTGTGTCCTTTGGTGTGTAAAAGTCTTAAATCTCAATGAAGTCCAATTTTCCTATTATTCTTTTGTTGTTTGTGCCTTTGGTGTCCTATCCAAGAAATAATTGCCAAATTCAATGTCATGAAGCTTGCCCATTTTCTTGTAACAGTTTTACATTTTACCTCTTATGTTTAGGTATTTGATCTATTTTTGAGTTAATTTCTGTATGTGCCATAAGGGTCCAACTTCATTCTCTCTTTTTTTTCTTTTTTTGAGATGGAGTTTCACTCTTGCTGCCCAGGCTGCAGTGCAATGGCACAATCTCAGCTCACTGCAACCTCCACCTTCCAGGTTCAAGTGATTCTCCTGCCTCAGCCTCCTGAGTAGGTGGGATTACAGGCATGCACCACCACGCCTGGCTAATTTTGTATTTTTAGTAGAGATGGGGTTTCCTCCATTTTCGTCAGGCTGGTCTCGAGCTCCTGACCTTAGGTGATCCACCACCTCGGCCTCCCAAAGTGCTGGGATTACAGGTGTGAGCCACTGCACCCAGCCTCAACTTCATTCTTTTGCATGTGTATATTTAGTTTTTCCCAGAATCATTTGTTGAAAACACTCTCCTTTCTCCACTGAATTTTCTTGGCACTTTTGTCAAAAATCAATTGCCCACTATATGTAATTGTGTTTTTCTAAGCCCTTCTATTTCACTGGTCTTTAGTCTATACTATGTCAGTACCACACTGTTTTGATTACTGTCGCTTTGTAGCAGTTTTTGAAATCAGGTAGTGTGTCATTCAACTTTGTTCTTCTTTTTCAAGATTGTTTTGACTATTCAGTGTCCTTTGAAATTCCACGAATTTTATTCTGGTTTTTAAACAAATTATGTAAAAATGCCATTGGGCTTTTGATAAGAATTGCATTGCACCTGTAGATCAGTTTTAGTAGTAATGTTATCTTAACAATAATACGTTTTCCACTCCTTGAACAGAGAATGTCTATTTATTTATATCTTGTTTAATTTCTTTCAGCAAAGCTTTGTAGTTTTCAGTATACAAGTCTTTTGCCTCCTTGGTTAAATCTATTCCTAAGTATTTTATTCTTTTTGGTGCCATTATAAATATAACTGTTTCCTTAATGTTCTTTTCAGATTGTTCATTGCTAATGTATAGAAATGCAACTCGTTTTGTGTGTTCATTTTACATCCTGCAACTTTGTTGAATTTATTAGCTCTAGCAGATTTTTTGTGGAATCCCATATATAAAATCATGTCATCTGAGAATAGAGATAATTTTACTTTTTTTTTCCTTTTTGTTTTGGAAACAGAGTCTCACTCTGTTGCCCAGACTGGAATGCAGTGGCGTGATCTCGGCTCACTTCAACCTCCGCCTCCTGGGCTCAAGCAAGTCTCCTGTTTCAGCTTCCCAAATAGCTGGGATTACAGGTGTGCACCACCATGCCCAGCTAATTTTTATATTTTTAGTAGAGACGGGCTTTCACCATGTTGGCCAGGCTGGTTTCGAACTCCTGACTTCAAGGGATCCACCCACCTCGGCCTCCCAAAGTGGTGGGATTACAGGCATGAGCCACCGTGTGCAGCCTTTTTTTTTTTTTTTTCCAATTTGAATGCCTTTTTTTTCTTGCCTTAGAACAAAATTACTTTAAAAAATTACTTTGGCTAGAACTTTAGTACCAAGTTGAATAAAAGTGGTAAAAGTTGGCATTCTTGTCTTGTTTTTGATCTTAGGGGAAAAGCTTTGTCTTTCACCACTGAATATATGTTAGTTATAGGTTTTCATATATGGCCTCTATCATGTTGAGAAAATTTCCTTACATTCCTATTTTAAGTGATTTTAACATGAATTTTGTCAAAAGCTTTTTCTGCATCAATTGAGATGTTCAAAATGGATTTTAACATCTCTGAAATGAAGATATCTTTTATAATCAATGGTATTTTAAGATTCTATGAACCACAATAACACATTTCATAATAATTGCTATAAAAAATAAGGATTGGGAGGCTGAGGTGAGAGGAGCACTTGAACCCAGGAGGTTGAGACTGCAGTGAGCCATATTTGTGCCACTGCACTCCAGACTAGACAAGAGAACAAGACCCTAACTTAATTTAAAAAAAAAAAAAAAGATTGAAGCCAGGCACTGTGATACACACCTGCATGGTCCCAGCTACCTGGGAGGCTGAGGTAGGATGACTCCTTGAGCCCAGGAGTTTGAGGCCAGACTGGGCAATATAGCGAGGCCCTGTCTCTTAAAAAAGAAGAAGATTGAGCATGGCTGGACAGGTGCAGAAGTGTGATTTTAGGTTGGGTGGTCAGGGAAGGTTTCCTTATGCAGATGACAGTTAAGCAGAGATCTAATTACTTAGAAGGAGATAGCCATGCAAAATTTGCAGCAAAAATATATTCATCAGGGGAATAGTAAGTGTAAAAGCCTTGACTTGGAAGTAAGTTTGGCATGCTAAAGTAATGGCAAGAAACACAGTATATCTAGAGCATAGTGAGGAGGAAAAGAGAAGAACAAGATGAAATAGGTCCAGAGTACCTATAAAGGGCTGAGATGCTGAAATTTCTAAAGGCAGAGTGTTTTTGAGACTAAAGTTACTCACCAAAGAACATTTTTAAAACTCCCACATTTGAAAAGATGATATACACAAATCCTTTCTAGTTTCTACGACACTATCAATCCTTTATTCTGGCCATCTCAGTATATGAACGAGTTCTTGCTGAGTTCAATATTTTGGAAGCTAATCTACCCCTTTCATGAATTATTTTAAATCTTTGTATTTCCTGAAAAATTACTTTTCAGCCTTCTAAATATTAAAATATCTTATTGACATTGCTTCACTGAAAACCAGCCTTTGACTTATTTCTTTTAAAGAGTCAAGCAAAGTATTGTATTCCTGAGCAAAATCACACTCTCCAAGCAGACTCTTATTCTCCTAACTTACCAAAAAGGTGAGTACAATTTTATATATCTAAATGTTGACTAAGTGTGTCTGGGAGATGAATCTTATGCTTATACATCATTGTGATGCTACGAAGAGGCCTATTTGGGGTATGGTGTCATTATTACGCTTTCTTTTTGTTTTAGTACCATAAAAGCAGCAAAAACGATGAACCAACAAAGGACAAAAATGGAAAACACAGAATCTTCTTCCTTTGACTTTAGGACTTCTGAAATAAGTGCAAAGGAAGAGCTAGTTTTGCACCCTGCTAAATCAAGCACTTCTTTTGACTTTCTGGAGCTAAATTACGGTTTTGACAAAAATGCTGATACAACCATGAAACGGCAGACAAAGGCATTTCCAACAGTTGGGGAACCTCTTCAGAAGCATCAAAGTTTGGATTTGGGCTCTCTTTTGTTTGTGGCATGTTCTAATTCTAAACCTGTAAATGCAGCAGGAAGATATTTTGATTCAAAGGTGCCAATAACACGGACCAAATCAACTCCTTTTGAATTGATACAGCAGAGAGAAACCAAGGAGGTGGACAGCAAGGAAAACTTTTCTTATTTGGAATCTCAACCACATGATTCTTCTTTTGTAGAGCTGCAGTCTCAAAAAGTAATGCATGTTTCCTCAGCAGAACTGAATTATCCACTGCCGTATGACTCTAAACACCAAATATGTAATGCCTCTAATGTGAAGCACCATGACTCTAGTGCTCTTGATGTATGTTCTTACATACCTTTAGTGGAAGATCCTTATTTTTCATCATGGCCTCCAAGTAGTACCGGTTCTAAGATGTCTCTTGATTTACCTGAGAAGCAAGATGGAACTGTTTTTCCTTCTTCTTTGTTGCCAACATCCTCTACATCCCTCTCCTCTTATTACAATTCACATGATTCTTTATCACTGAATTCTCCAACCAATATTTCCCCACTATTGAACCAAGAGTCTGCTGTACTAGGTAAGTTATTTTTTAAAGTTTGCATAGAATTTTAGGTTTCACTTTGTTTCTATAGAATATTTGGTTTCTTCTCATCTTCCCTCTTCTCTGCTTCTTCTCTTTCTTCTTTTTTTGAGACTGAGTCTTGCTCTGTCACCAGGCTGGAGTGCAGTGGTGCGATCTTGGCTCACTGCAACCTCTGCCTCCCGGGTTCAAGCAATTCTCTTGCCTCAGCCTCCCGAGTAGCTGGGATCACAGGCGTGCACCATCACGCCCAGTTAATTTTTGTATTTTTAGTAGAGATGGGTTTTCACCATGTTGGCCAGGATGGTCTCGATCTCTTGACTTCGTGATCCCCCTGCCTTGGCCTCCAACATGCTGAGATTACAGGCGTGAGCCACTATGCCTGGCCTACTTCCTTCTCTTTCTTCTTCCTGCTACTCCTCTAATAAATACATCCCAGGAGTGTTTTAATGCTGTAATAAGTTGAAAATAGCAACATCAAACATATAATATTCCCATGAAACAGGCAGCAATGGAGGCAGTCAAGATCTGGTACAGGATCTGTACCAGCAGGAGTGCTTCTAAAGAAGGCATGCCTCATTCCTAGAAATGTATATCAAAGGCCCACAATATACTGTTTTTTAAAAATATTTTTTGAAACAGAATCTCACTATGTTGCTCATGCTGGAGTGCAGTAGTGTGAACATTGCTCATTGCAGCCTTGATGTCCTGGGCTCAACCGATCCTCCCACCTCAGCTTCCCAAGCAGCTGGGACCATAGGGACACGCCACCATGCCCGGCAAATTTTTTTTAGAAATGGAGGTCTTGCTATGTTGCCCAGACTAGTCTCAAAAATCTGGCCTCAAGCAATCCTCCCACTTTGGCCTCCCAAAGTGCTGGGATTACAGGTGCAAGTCACCACACCTGGCTTCAGAATTTACCCTTAACATATAGAAGCAGCTTCCAAAAGAAGAGCAGAAAAAAATGTGATCAATAGCACCCAGAATTTTTGTTGCACAATTATGTGGCTAAAATGAGTTGAACATATTGCTAAAAATTGAATTCTCTTCCTGCGGGAGTTGGAAGGGGAGAACCTGATTTATTGCTCTTTTGTAGTAATTTAGTAGATGAGAATACATGTTTATATTTTGTGTAAAAATTTTATCTTATGTATACCTTTACTTATATGTTTTATCTTTTATAATTTTGTATTTTTGCATATCATGCATATTGTTCTGTTTTACTGATTAGTTTGAAAATAGAAATGAGCATCCTGTTAGAGATGATGACAATAATTTGATGTGGAAGATGATGAGGGAAAGCAAAGAACAAGTTTAATTCCCTTAGGTATATCATCAAATAATTTATAAAGCACATTCTACATAGACAGGAGGTGGAGAAAACTTTTGCTCTATAACATTATTTATTGTAGAGTTTCTTCATAAATAGTTGTGTAAGATCATTTGTAACTTTGCTGCAAAAATATCTTATCTGGATCTAAGAAGTTCCTGCTGTGATTAGATTATTTTATACATTTTTAACCATTTAAATGTATTTTCTTTTCTTAGATACTCAAAATACCTCAGACTTCTCTAAGCGTCTGCATCATTAAAAAACAGAGCGAGACTGTCTCAAAAAATAAATAAATAAAAAATAAACCCTTATTTTCCAAGGATTGTAACAATATCGTCAAGTGCCATCTGGTGGCAGTTTCTTATAATAGCATTTAAAATGTTTAATAATTGGAATGTTTGTATAGAAATACAGAAGACTATCCTATACTATTGTTTTGTAAAATGGAAAAATACTTATATTTTTGGATTTTGTGTAGAATGAAGATACTAAAATCTTTATAATTTTACCTAATGTATAACTGAAGCTTTTACATGTCAAAGCACTTTATAATGCTTTATTATATAGTCTATATAAAACAAAAGGAGTTATGCAAAAGATAATTCAAAGCTTCCAAAATTAATGTAATATTTTATGTTAACTGATACACCATGACTCAATCAAAATACTTTTGAGCTTTTATTTATTTATTATTATTTTTTGAGACAGAGTCTCCTGCTGTCGCCCAGGCTGGAATGCAGTGGTGCAATCTCGTCTCACTGCAAGCTCTGCCTCCCAGGTTCACAGCATTCTCCTGCCTCAGCCTCCTGAGTAGCTGGGACTACAGGCGCCTGCCCCCGCGCCCACCACCACGCCCGGCTAATGTTTTGTATTTTTAGTAGAGACGGGGTTTCACCATGTTAGCCAGGATGGTCTCGATCTCCTGACCTTGTGATCTGCCCGCCTTGACCTTCCAAAGTGCTGGGATTACAGGCCTGAATCACCACACCCAGCCCTACTTTTGAGCTTTTAAAACAAACAATAAATGTTAAAGAATAAGCAAAAACCTCGTGGGTTTGTACCTTAAGATAATTCATTTTGCTTTTTCCTCGAATGAACAAGTGCCAACTTTACTGATAATGGTGCTTCAACGGAATTTAAATTATGGTAAATTTATATTTAATATTAGAATATAAGAATTTCCTTTGGATTGTTCTAATTAACAATTGTTACAATATTTCTGACATTTTGGATAGCAACTGCTCCAAGGATAGATGATGAAATCCCCCCTCCACTTCCTGTACGGACACCTGAATCATTTATTGTGGTTGAGGAAGCTGGTGAGTACAGTCTAGTAAGTACAAAATAAAGTGTGGGTCGGGCATGGTGGCTCATGCCTTTAATTCCAGCACTTTGGGAGGCTGATGTGGGAGCCTTGAGTTGGAGGAGTTCATTGAGGCCAGGAGTTCAAGACTAGCCTGCGCAACATGGTGAGCCCTCATCTCTAAAAAAAAAAAAAAAAATTTTAAATTTAGCAGAGCAATGGCAGCATGCATGTGTAGTCCCAACTACTTGGATGGTGGAGGCGAGAGGATCACTTGAGCCCAGGGGTTGGGGGCTGCAGTAAGCCGTGATTGTGCCACTGCACTCCAGTCTGGGTGACAGAGCAAGACTCTGTCTCAAAAAATAAAATGAAATGTGAATTAACTAGATTACTTCTCAGTTCCTTTCAATGTTTTATGTACTATTCGCTGAACAACATTTGATTTCTAAAAGAATACTACCCCTAAGAACTGAAACATATTCACTTTCTTCCAGGAGAATTCTCACCAAATGTTTCCAAATCCTTATCCTCAGCTGTGAAGGTAAAAATTGGAACATCACTGGAATGGGGTGGAGCATCTGAACCAAAGAAATCTGATGACTCTGTGAGACTTAGACCAAGCAAGGTCAATAATTTTTTAATGAGTCTACTCATCTAGATTCAATAGACTACAGTTCTACTCCTTGTATTTTTAACACCCATCATTCAATAAATCCTAAGCACATACTAAATATAAAACAATGTGCTAGAGGATGTTGGGATAAAAAAGATGTATAAGACACAATTCTTGCCTTTAAGAAGCTTCTTGTCTAGTGGTAGAGATATAGGACGTGTACAAATCTTTATTTTTGCCTATATTTATTATAACAAAGCAAGTATGATCAATGTCATATGAAAGATAAAGAATTTCAAGTGTGGGAGATGCCTCCAGGTTGGAAGTGATCAAGGAAGATTTAGTGAAAGAGGAAACATTTGAGCTGATTCTTGAAGGATAGTTAAGGCAAAAATAAATGTTTCATACTTAAGTAGGAAGCTTGTTCACTGTAGTCATCTGGTAGGCTGTATCATGTTAGCTGTGATAATATGTTATAGAGAATGACAGGTGTGCATATTACTTAACATAAATCTTTTGGAATAGTGTGGTTGATGGTAAAGTCAGAGATGGTGGGGGGTTGTGGATTAAATAGAAAATAATTCTTGAAAGTAGACCTGTCCTGCTTCTGGAGGAAAAATAGAAGTGCATCTAAAAATGTTATGCATTTCTATATATTCTCTGAACCAATTATCTTAACATTTGAGAGAATGGAAAAATAATTAAACATTTTAAAGTACCTACAATTGCAATGCTGCTAGGCAAATGTTCTCTGCCTTTTAAATTATAATTCCAATGTACTAGTAATTATGATTGTCATTAATAATAGCCACATATATTTATCTTAACAACTCCCAGAGGGAAGAACAATAATTCTTTCCAATGTTATGAAGTAACTTCAATTTCAATTTTCAGGGAAATGTTTTAGGTGGGACAGAAATAAGTCAGAAGGAGATCAATTTAGGACTAATTGCCATGGGATATAAAAAATCATTGTAAGAGTGAAGGATGCCATTTCCTAATTCAGCACACTTACAAATTAGGAAAAATAGGGTCGACATTTCATAATTATTTCTACAGCTATCTTAAATATAATTTCAAAAATGCCATTTTTTGCTTTGAGTTTGTATAATTCATATATATATTCTTCTTTCACTTTTCCTTTCTGTTTTTCTTTTAGAGTGTAAAACTCCGAAGTCCTAAATCAGGTAAAAATTTCTCTTGGCTTTAGATGACACTTAGCCCTAAGATTGGAAGAATGGTTCGTTAAGTTTAGAGTAATTCACCTCAGGAAGTTACTTGGTTTCCATAATAGCTTCCAGTATTTATTGATTTATTTCTGGTTTTCCTGGACTAGAAATTTTGTTAAGAGCAAGGTGAAGACAGGATTTTAGAATTCTGTTCCTTAATATATAACCATTTAAAAATTATTTCAGAGAGAATCTTTTAAAACTTTGCAGCTTTTCCATTATATAGATTTTCCCACTGTTAACACTGTGATTCAAAAAATTATTTTTGGCCACTTAGTTCTTTAATTTGCTGTTGCCTTTCCAGTACTTTCCTGAGCTTTGCCGGTTTTATGCATTGAAGAACAAAAACTAACATTTATTGGGCACTTCCAGGTACTTTGTTTACATTATCACAGGTGGTAGTTGCCCTTAACATGTTTATTCATATTGTCATGTTATTCAAATACATATACAGATAATATAAGGGTTAAAAAACATGGGCTTTGCCAGGAGTTTGAGGCTGCAGTGAGCTATAATGGCACCACTGCACCCGGCCTGTATGACAGAGCAAGATGCTGTCTCTAAAAACCATGACAATAGGCCAGGAGCGGTGGCTCACGCCTGTAATCCCAGCACTTTGGAAGCCTGAGGCTGGCGGATCACGTGGTCAGGAGATTGAGACCATCCTGGCCAACATGGTGAAACCCCATCTCTACTAAAAATACAAAAATAAGCTGGGCTTGGTGGCACGCGCCTGTAGTCCCAGCTACTCGGGAGGCTGAGGCAGGAGAATCGCTTGAACCTGGGAGGCGGAGGTTGCACTGAGCCGAGATCACGCCACTGCACTCCAGCCTGGGTGGCAGAGTGAGACTCCATCTCAAAAACAAAGCAGAACAAAACAAAACATGACAACAAAAACACGGGCTTTAAAGTCAGATAGGCTTTAAGTCAAATCCCCAGTCTATGAAGAACTATCAACATGCATAAAGTTGGTTACATACTTTCTCCATCTATTTTTCTCATTTATAAAAGGAGAATAGAATCCCTTAGATAATTTTTATGAGGATTAAATACGATAATGTCATAAAGCTTTTAGCCCAGTACTTGTCAAATAAGTCCTCATTAAATATTATCAATTATAATTTTTATTAATCATTAAATGAGCATTTTACTAAGCAACTTCTGTGTACCTTACATGGTGTTAGAATAGGCACGATGTATAAGAGTACTACTTAATGCTTATATTCAAATTCAGTAGATAAAATTAATACTCACATGGAACCACTAAATGATAATCTGTGTGGTACCCACTGTAATCACCAGCAGTCTGGAAAAACAGGATGGCATTACTGGAGTGGTTAGGAAAGGCTTTGCTGAGTGGAAGAAAGAACTTTAAATAATTTGTATAGACAGAAAGAAAAAAGGAGGGAATTCCAGCAGCAGGGATCAGCCTAACAATGACTCAAAGGTGGAAATGAGCATGATGTGTATGGAGAAATGGTAAGTAGGTTATTTTTTATGGCAATAGATATTCTAGTTTGTGAAATATAGAAAATAAATTTGGGTAAATAAGATGTGAGGCAAGATTCTGAAGGACTTAAAAAAGCCAGTCAGATGAAATACCCAGAATAGACAGATCCATAAGGATAGAAGCAGATTAGTGATTGCCAGGGCTGGGAGAAAGAGGAAAATAGGGAGTGATGGTTTTATGGGTGCAGAGTTTTCTTCTAGGGTGATGAAAAATATTCTGGAACTAAACAGTGGCGATGGTTGTACAATACTGTGAATATGCTAAATGTCACTAATGGCAAATCTTATGTGTATTTTACCACATACACCCAAAGTTAGGCAGAGGAATTTAGATTTAATGCAGTAAGTAACAGGCATTATGGGTTCTTTGTCAGGGGAATATTAAGATGAAATTAAAATTTAGGGAAATATTTACTAGAATACTGTTAACAAACAACTTTAGTTTTCAAAATATTCCCTAACAGCAAACTGGAAGATGATGAACTACTTCAGAATAGTTATTAAGTATTTATTAAACGCCTACTGTATGCCAGTTATTTTATTAGGTGCTAGAAATAAGTACTACACTTGTGTGTATTACCCAGCATGTAAGAAATAAGACAATTTATTGATAAGACAAATTCTAAGGACTAAACAAACCCAGTGACCAATGACATGTGAACCTCTCGTACTTTACTGCATTTTCATTTTCAAAAGGAATTAATATAATAATACTCAGCACCATACAATGAGATGCTTATGTCAGTAGAATACCATCTGTATCTTTAGAAATTTACATCATGGAAAAATATGTCCATTATTGAAGATCTTCATCATGGAAAATTTCAAATACATTTAAAACCTACCATGATAGCATTATCACACCAATAAAGTTAATAATAATTCCTTAATAGTAACAAATATCCAGACTGTTCAGTTTTCAATTGTCTCAAAAATGTCTTTTTACAGTTGGTTTATTCAAATATGGATTCAAACAAAATCTAAACATTGCATTTGGTTTACATGTTTGTCTTCTTAAATCTGTCTTTTGAAATCTGTAACAGTTCTCCCTTCTTTTTTTGCATTTTCTTTTTAAATATATAACAGTTCTCCTTTCTATGTTTTTCACACCATTTATTTGTTGAAAAGAGTGGGTCATTTTTCTTAAAAGACTGTTTAACATTCTAGATTTGGCTAATCGTATCATGATGGTTTTATTTAACACGTTCCTCTATCCCAAATATTTCATGCAAAATGGTTGTTAGATCTAGAAGCTTGATTATATGTGGTTTCAGTGTCTTTGGGAGAATACTTCTGAAGTGAGCTATATATTTTTGATGAATCATAGGCTCACTGGCTAACGAGGCAGAGAAACAAAGTTCTTGAGGCTCCAGTCATTTTTCAGATAATATTTTATTTGGTGATTTTTGGTTAAGATTCATTGATTTAAAAATTGTACAAAGAGAAAAGGGTGTTGACTTATGACTTTTAACTGATGGATTTGTCTGGTATGTTGTATACTTTCTTATCACAGAACTACATCAAGATCGTTCTTCTCCCCCACCTCCTCTCCCAGAAAGAACTCTAGAGTCCTTCTTTCTTGCCGATGAAAATTGTAAGTGGTAGTACTTTCTCTCAAAAAAATCATAAAAATGAAAATATTAAAAGATTAACAATAAAGTAGGACCTAAATTAAAAGGTACAAAAATGATTACACAAAAGAAAACATTTTAAAAGCCCATAATATATAGTCAAAATAATGCCTAAAAAAGCCAAGCTAATAATTTACTATATGTAACATGAAGGCTTAAGAAGGTATGCAATGAAACATGTTTTTCTCCTTTTTTTTTTTTTAAGGTATGCAGGCCCAATCTATAGAAACATATTCTACTAGCTGTCCTGACACCATGGAAAATTCAACATCTTCAAAACAGACACTGAAGACTCCTGGAAAAAGTTTCACACGGAGTAAGGTAAAGAAGATAAGAGTTTTGGGAAACATGCCAGAAGCTTTCTCTTACTGCAAGTTTCCCCCCTCCCCAGCATTGAGATGGAAAATTAGATTAAATATCTTTACTAAAACTAATTGTTGATATTATAACAATCAAAATTAATAGAAGGAAACCAAAAAGAAGAAAAAATACAACTTAAAGATTCATTTTTCAGAGAGAGAGGACCAGAAAAAATACCTATTGGGTACTATGCTTATTACCTGGGTGACAAAATTATCTGTACAGCAAACCCTTGTGACACACAGTTTACCTATATAACAAACTGGCACACGTACCCGTGAACCTAAAATAAAAATTTAAAAATAAAAATAAAAATAAATGAAGAAAAAAGAATCTACTTCTCTCTAAGGTTGATTTATAAATGTAAAAGATGCCCAATGAAACTACCAACTTGTTTATTTCTGCAACTATATAAACTGATTTCAAAGTTCATATGGGAGTGGGGGAAGCAAGAATAGTCAGAAACCTGCAAATAAATAATAAATAAAAATAGTTCAGATAAATGTCTTTCTAAAATAATTTTTAAAAATAAAAATAAATAAAAAGAAAAGCAATAAACGAGTCATCTTAGCAGATATTCAAATATGGTAAGTCCCAGCCTTTGGGAGGCCAAGGCGGGTGGATCACTTGAGCTCAGGATTCAAGACCAGCTTGGGCAACATGGCAAAACCCCGTCTCTATCAAAAATACAAAAAATTAGCTGGGCATAGTGGTGTGCGCCTGTGGTCCCAGCTACTCAGGAGGCTGAGGTGGGAGGATTGGTTGAGCCTGGAAGGTGGAGGCTGCAGAGACTGCGCCACTGCACTCCAGCCTGGGTGACAGAGTGAGATGTCATCTCAAAAATATAAATGTAAAAATAAAATGGCATGATATTAGTGTATAAAAAGAAACATATACCAGCAGAGTAAAAGGGAAAGTTCTGAAATAGATCCAAATATATGTAGAAATTTAGTATATAATGAAGGTGGTATCTCAAAATCAGGGGATAAAGATGGATGGTTTAATAACTGTTGTTGGATCAAATAGATAACCACCTGAAAAAAAGCAGGGTCTATTCCTTATATCTATATCAGGATAAATTCTAAATGGCTAAAAGATGAAAATATTAAAAAAAAAAAAAAACCTAAAAATAACTTGGAAAGAGTCTTTTATAACCTGGGGGTGTGAATGACCTTTATAACTATGACTCAAAAATTTATGCATGGCAAAACAATCACCTTAAAAATCTAAAGACAAAGAACAAATTGGAGGAAAAGAAATCTGCAACTGGCACCACAGCCAAAGGGGTTATTACTCTAATATACAAAGAACTGTTAGAAATTCATGGAAAATAACCCCCAAATAAAAATGGGCAAAAATATGGGATCAGATGGTTTGAAGAAAATAAATGAGCATGTATGCCCTTTAAACATTTGATATGTTCAATCTCATTCATAATGAAAAAATTACAAATTAAAACCACAGTGACATATGGCTTTTCATCTATCAGAATGGTAAATTCCAAAAGTTTGATTACATTCTCTGTTAGGGCGACTATGGGGAAATAAGCACACTCAATGTTGTTGGTGAGAATGTCAAGTGGTACAACTTCCTTTTAAAATTTTTTTTTAAAATTTAGACATGGGGTCTCCCTATGTTGCCAGCTTCTGGACTCAAGCAATCCTCCTGCCTTGGCCTTCCAAAATGCTGGGATTACAGGTGTGAGCCACTGTACCCAGCCTGCTACAACTTCTATGAAGGGCAATTTAGCAATATCAAAATTACAAATGCATGTATCCTTTACTCAACAATTTCACTAGAAGTGAAATTTATACTACAAATATGCTTGCATATACATGAAATAACATGTATACCAAGTATTCATTGCAGCATTATCTGTAAGAGCAGATGACTGGAAACAACATAATTAATAGTGTTAATTGTTAGGGGAACTGATTAAATAAATCATAAATCATGTTATATCCATACAAATGGAATACTATGCAGCTAAAAAAGAATTGGGACTTTCTCAATATATTTATATATAATTTATTAACTTTTACTTAAAAAGAGGAATATGATACATATGTGTATTTACTTATATATTCATGAGTAACTCTGGAAGGATACTAACTACAGAGGATGAAAAACTAACAGTGGTTATCTATAGCAGGAACATTAGAAACTGAGTAGATTGAAGACAAGGATGGGAGCAATTTTACTAGGATTTCCTGACTTGTAAATAAATCATCTATTTAAAAAAAATAACTAAAAATGTTACAAATTAAGAATTTATTAAATATCTATTCCAAGGAAGAGCACATTTCTATTTGGTGTTAGGAAAATAGAAAAGTCATAAAGGATAACTATTTGCCCTTGAAAATAGTATAGTTAATCTGCTGGAACAGGACACCTTTGAGAAACATGAAAATTATCAAGAAGAATAAAATGCCATGAAGCAGATTAAAAACATACATGCTGAAGAAATGTGGAGTAAAGAAGAAATTTGGGTAGGTTCCTTGAAGAGATTAATTAGAGACTCCACCATAAAAGCAGGGGAAGGAAGTGTGGCTAACAGTATGGAAGGGGGCCTTAGTAAATTGAATATAGAATATGACTGGCAAAAATTCTTGGCTAGAATGAAAATGGCTGTGTATCATGGATATATTCAGAAGCCACTGTGGGTTCTGAAATGGTCCTAATAAAGGAGAGAAGTGGGAATTTCATCCCCTCTACCCCTCTGAGTCCCTTCCCTTCCTTTCTCCCTTCCCTTCCCTTCCTCTCTCTCTCTCTCTCTCTTTCTGTTTTAGACAGGGTCTTGCTCTGTTGCCCACGCTAGAGTACAGTGGCATAAATATGGCTGGCTGCAGCCTTGACCTCCTGGGCTCAAGTGATCCTCCTGCATCAGCCTTCTGAGTGGCTGGGAACACAGGTCTGCATCACCATGCCTGGCTTTTAAAAATTTTTAGTAGAGATAGGGTCTCACCATGTTGCCCAGTCTGGTCTTGAACCTCCTGGCCTCAAGGGAACTTCCCACCTGAGCCTCCCAAAGTGCTGGAATTACAGGCATGAGCCACCTTGCCAGCACCCCACCGCTCCCTGTCAATATTCTGATAGCATAATTTAAAAAAACAATTTACTGGCTGGGCGCAGTGGCTCACGCCTGTAATCCCTGCACTTTGGAAGGCCAAGGCAGGTGGATCACGAGACCAGCTTGGCCAATATGGTGAACCCCCGTCTCTATTAAAAATACAAAGATTAGCCAGGCATGGTGGCACGCACCTGTAGTCCCAGCTACTCAGGAGGCTGAGGCAGAAGAATTGCTTGAACCCGGGAGGCGGAGGTTGCAGTGAGCTGAGATCACACCACTGCACTCCAGCCTGGGTGACAGAGCAAGACTCCATCGCAACAACAACAACAAAAAAATTTATCAATCTTTCATAAAAGACATGTTTTCACTCTGTTGCCCAGGCTGGAACGCAGTGGTGGTATCAGAGCTCACTGTAACCTTGAACTCCTGGGATCAAGCGGACCTCCTGCCTCAGCCTCCCCAGTACCTGCTACCACACTCAGCTACTATTTTTTTTTTACTTTTTGTAGAGATACGGGGTCTTGCTATGTTGCCCAAGATGGTCCTGAACTCCTGAACTCAAACAATCCTCCTGCCTTTGCCTCCCAAAGCACCAGGATTACAAGTGTGAGCCACTGCGCTCAGCCTCTGATAATATTATTTCAAAACACGTAGTGTGATACTTGCATGGGTGATAAAAATAGCAAGATAAAATCAAGTAGAGGTTGTGCACTGAATTAAAAATGGCAAGATGGAAAAACAACTTTGTACATTTTCACGGCTATTTTTAAAGAAATTAATTCTTTTCACTTAAGTCTATATTTCTACTTGATTAAAGTATTTCAAATTTCACAGGAAAAAACCTAACATTTTCCTTTTCTTTGCTTTTGTAGAGTTTGAAAATTTTGCGAAACATGAAAAAGAGTAAGTTCGTACTTATGTTTAAAAAGATCATTTTCTCAATATTGTAATTTTTCTTTATATAACCAACCAATATTGTGAAAAGATTAACAAAATTATTCCTAAACAGAGCCTCCCTAAAGTCCTATGAATCAGAACAATCACCCATAGGCCTCTTTTTTCTTTTGTTTGTTTGTTTGTTTTTGCTAGGCTTCACGATGCTAATATTGGGCAGGGAGTAGGCGATGAGAAGTCTTCTGTTTAATACATAAGAATAATAATTAGTACAATGGCATTTTAAAAAATTCAAATATATTTTAAAATTTATTTTTAATAGTAGAGATGGGGTTTCACCATTTGCCCAGCTTGGTCTTGAACTCCTGGGCTCAAGTGATCCTCCTGCCTTGGCCTCCCAAAGTGCTGGGATTACAGGTGTAAGCCACTGCACCTGGCCAATGTTTGGTACTTTCTACCCATCCTGAGATGCTGTCATACAATTGGGTTACTTAAAATTTCCAGCAGTCTAACCTCAGATGTATTTTCTTTGAAAATAGTCACAGCAAACCATATTGTGAAACAAATGTGTTGACTTCATGAAATAAGCAAAACATTGACACATTTCCATTGTTACCAAGTATTATTAGCAATAAAAGTCTGTTGCTTACTATTTTTGCTATATTGTAATGAAAATAAAATCCATTGAGTCCTGAAACTGTGGAAAATTATCTTAGAAATCTTACTTACAAATAGAAAATATAAAAAACATGGTGATGGCCAGGTGTGGTGGCTCACACCTGCAATCCTAGCACTTTGGGAGGCCAAGGCAGGTGGATCACCAGGTCAGGAGTTCAAGACCAGCCTGGCCAACATAGTGAAACCCCGTCTCTACTAAAAAAATACAAAAATTAGCCAAGTATGGTGGCGTGTGCCTGTAGTCCCAGCTCCTCAGGAGGCTGAGGCAGGAGAATTGCTTGAACCTGGGAGGCGGAGGTTGCAGTGAGCCAAGATCATGCCACTGCACTCCAGCCTGGGCAACAGAGCAAGACTCTGTCTCAAAAAAACAAAAAAAAAACAAAAACAAACAAACAAAAAACCATGGTGATATACTTAAAAATTTTTTTGATCCATTTGGTTAATCGGTGAAAGACCAGTTATTTGACATTATACTAGTATTATAGGGAGAGACAAAAAGCACTGAGAAAATCTGATTTCAGGTACAGTCTAAGAAAGAAGGTTTCCTTTTGGGTTTTCATTCTATCTCCCTACCCAAAAGCTCCAGGTTCTTGAGCTAGTTTGATATCATTGCCATCATAGCTGATCTCTGACATGAACTCATGATGGCTGAAGTATAGTTGGAAAATGTACCTTTTCTCCTAAACAGAGTCAAAAGAGAATTTAAATATTTCAAATGGAAATTATGGTAGGAAACAGGGGAAATAAAACAGCCAAGTGCAAAGAAATGAGTGACTTAAATGGTCAAAGATTGGTTTGATCAGCCTAACTCAGAAAATAGTTTTCTTTCTCTAGCTCTAACTCTGCCTAGAATATCAAACAAGAAACAGAAACTTCAGGTAGATTTAGGTTGGCACAGCTTTGAAGATATGGTGGAACTTTCAGAGATTGAGTCTTCTTTCTTTTTTTTTTTTTAATTTAAAAACCAAGTTCATGTTTTTCTTGCCCCAATAATTATACTATTTATTTATTACATTTTTAAAATTATACTTTAAGTTCTAGGGTACATGTGCACAACGTGCAGGTTTGTTACATATGTATACATGTGCCATGTTGGTGCACTGCACCCATTAACTCATCATTTACATTAGGTATATCTCCTAATGCTATCCCTCCCCCTACCCCCTCCCCACAATACGACCTGGTGTGTGATGCTCCCCTTCTTGTGTCCAAGTGATCTCATTGTTCAATTCCCACCTATGAGTGAGAACACATGGTATTTGGTTTTCTGTTCTTGCGATAGTTTGCTGAGAATGATGGTTTCCAGCTGCATTCATGTCCCTACAAAGGACATGAACTCATCCTTTTTTATGGCTGCATAGTATTCCACGGTGTATATGTGCCACATTTTCTTAATTCAGTCTGTCACTGATGGGCATTTGGGTTGATTCTAAGTCTTTGCTATTGTGAATAGTGCCGCAATAAACATACATGTGCATGTGTCTTTATAGCAGCATGACTTATAATCCTTTGGGTATATACCCAGTAATGGGATGGCTGGGTCAAATGGTATTTCTAGTTTTAGATCCTTGAGGAATCGCCACACTGTTTTCCACAATGGTTGAACTAGTTTACAGTCCCACCAACAGTGTAAAAGTGTTCCTATTTCTCCACATCCTCTCTAGCACCTGTTGTTTCGTGATTTTTTAATGATTGCCATTCTAACTGGTGTGATATAGTATCTCATTGTGGTTTAGATTTGCATTTCTCTGATGGTGAGTGATGAGCATTTTTTCATTTGTCTGTTGGCTGTATGAATGTCTTCTTTTGAGAAGTGTCTATTCATATCCTTTGCCCACTTTTTGATGGGGTTGTTTTTTCTTGTCAATTTGATTGAGTTCTTTATAGGTTCTGGATGTTAGCCCTTTGTCAGATGAGTAGATTGCAAAAATTTTCTCCCATTCTGTAGGTTGCCTGTTCACTCTGATGGTAGTTTCTTTTGCTGTGCAGAAGCTCTTTAGTTTAGTTAGATCCCATTTGTCAATTGTGGCTTTTGTTGCCGTTGCTTTTGGTGTTTTAGACATGAAGTCCTTGCCCATGCCTATGTCCTGAATGGTATTACCTAGCTTTTCTTCTAGGGTTTTTATGGTTTTAGGTCTAACATTTAAGTCTCTAATCGATTGAGTCTTATTTCTAAGAGCTCCCAGTTAATTCTCTGGATCTAGGCTGTGCTGTAGTTTTTCAGTTTCTTTGATCCTCTGGTCTTTTGCCCGTAAATGAAGAACATCTGGCTCCCAAAACTGATCCTGAAGCTTTAGACTGTACTTCATATGTGTCCTCAGCCCCTTCCAGATAGTTCATGATTCTGGAATTCCATGTGTTCTCCTTGTAGCCTGGATCTCCCACTGGTCCGTAAAGCTGGTCCTACTTTTAATGAAATTAGGATTCTTCATCTGTTATTTTAAGCTAGAATCTAAGCCTAGTGTCATTCATTCATTCATTCAATGAGTATTTGTTGAGTGTCTACTATATTTCAGGCATTCTGTAAGGCACTTGGTATATGATGGTGAACAGAACAGATATGGGCTCTGCCTTTGTGGAATGTAAGTTTGGTGAGGGATTCCATCATTAAACAAACAACATTAAACAAAATTTGGTCGACCATATTCACAAATATGTACATAATAACACATGACAAATGCTATGAAGGAAAACAAAAGGGTAACTATGAGAGGGTAACAAAGGGGATCCACTTTAGAATGAGGAGTCCAAGAAACCCCCCACCTTTTTTATTTCCTGAGACGGAGTCTCGCTCTGTTGCCCAGGCTGGAGTGCAGTGGGGCGATCTCGGCTCACTGCAAGCTCCGCCTCCCGGGTTCACGCCATTCTCCTGCCTCAGCCTCCCAAGTAGCTGGGACTACAGGCACCCGCCACAATGCCCGGCTAATTTTTTGTATTTTTAGTAGAGATGGGGTTTCACCGTGGTCTGGATCTCTGACTTCGTGATCCGCCCGCCTCCGTCTCCCAAAGTTTTGGGATTACAGGCGTGAGCCACTGCGCCCGGCAAAACCCCCTCCCCCTTTTTTTTTAAGATGGAGTCTAGCTCTGTTATCCAGGCTGGAGTGCAATGGCGCGATCTCGACTCACTGCGACCTCCCCCTCCCAGGTTCAAGTGATTCTCCTGCCTCAGCTTCCCGAGTGCTGGGACTACAGGGGTGCGCCACCATGCTCGGCTAATTTTTGTATTTTTAGTAGAGATGGGGTTTCACCGTGTTGGCCAGGATGGTCTTGATCTTCTGACCTCATGATCCACCTACCTCCACCTCCTAAAGTGCTGGGATTACAGGCATGAGCCACTGCACCCAGCCCAAGAAACCCTTTTTAAGGAAGTGAAAATTGAACCCGAAACATGAAGGAGCAGCCAGCCAGCCAAAGGGTCCAGAGAAGAGTATTTCAGATAGAGGGAACAAAATCTCTGAGGTATGAGAGTTTGGTGTATTGTAGAAACTCAAAGGGAAGCCATCTTAGTTGCAGGGTAGTAAGTAAAGAGGAGACATGAATAAGGCGAGACTGGAAAGATCAGAGAGGAGCAGTTAGATTCTTATGGGTCATGCATGGTAAGTAGTTTAGTTTATCCTAAGTGTAATGGGAAGCCATAAAAGGGTTTTAGGTAGAGATGTTACATGCTCTGTTTCCTATTTATTTTTATTTTTAAACATGCTTCACAGAAAAGTATAAAACGATCATGAATGAATTATAGAGTGACAAGAGTGGAAGCTGTCAACTGTGATGCTTGATGCTAACTTTTGGTGGGAAACTAATTGCTCAGAAATCCTTTAGTTACAAGTGACAGAAAACCTAACTTAAGCTGACTTAAGCAGAAAAGGGGAATTTACTGGCTTGTAACAATGGTCCAAATGATGTAATCAGAACCTAATCTCTCATTTCATGTCTCTCAGCTTAGTCTCACTCTGTGTTAACTCATTCATAGGCAGGGTTTTATCATGTGATTTCAGGCTTATGATGGAAAAAAAATAACTCTTTATTAGTTTTCAAGCCACACTGTGATGACTAGTGCCAACTGGGTCTGATTGTCTTGACTTGGTTCGTTTGCACATCCCTGAACCAATTATTGCCAGTATAGTCAATGTTCTGATTAGGCAGGATAGTGTCATACCCTAATATTTAACACTTATTACATGTGTACACTGTCCAATCAGGAATGAGGTCAGACCTATACATCTGGTGTGACCATGCCAATATACTAACTGAAAATCAGCCTTAGTTACAGGTCATTTCCTTAATCTAAAGGTACAATCAGCTCTACTGGAAGCATGGGAACTGAAAATTGGGGAGGGGTAGTTTCCTAAAGGAAAATTCAAGTTCTATTATTAGAAGTGGGAATGAAGGTTAGGCAGGCAGCATAAATATATCCATAACAGGCCAGGCGCAGTGGCTCACGCCTGTATTCCTAGCACTTTGGGAGGCCGAGGTGGGCAGATTATGAGGTCAGGAGTTCGAGACCAGCCTGGCCAACATGATGAAACCCCGTCTCTACTAAAAATACAAAAAATTTAGCCAAGCATGTTGACATGCACCTGTAGTCCCAGCTACTTGGGAGGCTGAGGCAGGAGAATTGCTTGAATCTGGGAGGTGCTGGTTGCGGTATGCTGAGATCGTGCCATTGCACTCCAGCCTGGGTGATAGAGTGAGACTCTGTCTCAAAAAAAAAAAAAAAAAAAAAAAAAAAAAACCATAATTTTTTTAATATAACAAAATAGCAGTTTCCTCTGATATATATGTGTGGAATCTGTGCCTCCTTTGTAAACAACCAATATTCTCCTTTGAGACAATTTTGTTTTCTTTCTGAAGGATGTATATAACTTTCAGCTCTATGCAGTAAGAGATTACTGATGTCTCCTGAACTTCCTTACCTTTACTCACTTTCTATTCATGTCTCTATCTTCAGTGCCTAGAGCAATGCTTAGCACATAGTATTTAAATATGAATAGTATTTTATACTTATACTTTATATTAACTATTTTAATATGTTAAGTATAATAATTATGCTTACTATAGTAATATAGTAAGTATAAAATAAATATGTGTTTTAATTGGATCTGATTGAAATTCAGTATGTATTCTAGTCATTCATACTCAGGTACCTCCTCGAAAAGGAAGGTGTTTCTAGAATCCTAGTATGAGGTATGCATGTGCAAAAACACATATGCAGTTCACACAGTGCATTCTGAAAATGTTGAAAACAACAACAAAAATGCTTACCAATATTCTTCCCATTTATATGCAATTTGTTAGAAAGTTATACAAACCTGAAATTATCTTTTTCCGTTGCCAAGATAGAATGTGCAAAATGTGGACAAAGTTTTTAAGGAACTATTTTCAAAACTACAGAAACTGATACATGAATATATCAATGTAAATATATGACCTATAAGTAACTTATACCTATAAGTAACTAAAATAGCAAAACAAAGCAGCATAACAATGCTTTTGGGAGATTATTGGCCTAAATAATAATCATTATTATCATGTTTTTTTGAGACAGGGTGTTGCTCTGTCACCCAGTCTGGAGTGCAGTGGCGCAGTCTGGGCTCACCGCATCCCTCTGCCTCCCAGGTTGGATCAATTCTTGTTTCTCAGCCTCCCAAGTAGCTGGGGTTACAGACGTGCAACACCACGCCTGGATAATTTTTTCTGTATTTTTAGTAGGGTTTCATCATGTTGGCCTGGCTGGTCTTGAACTCCTGGCCTCAAGTTATCTGCCTGCCTCAGCCTCCCAAAGTACTGGAATTACAGGCGTGAGTCACCGTGCCCGATTATGGGCCTAAATTAGAAAAAAAATCAGGCTGGAAAGTGGAATGAAAAAAGAGATTCCAGTGTAGAGGATTATATAATAAAAATAAGACTTGTCATGGATGAATTATTGTGGAGAACAAATGATGTAAAAATGTACTAAGAGTGGTCAGAGGAAAAAGTTATATGAAGTCCAAAGCCAATATGTGAATTTCAAAAAAAAAAAAAAAAAAAAAAATGCTGATTCATGATATATTGGATCTTATTTCTTTGGCAATTTTCTTTAGTGTTGGGCTTTACTATACAATCTGTTTGCAAAGAAAAGAAACCTTTTAAGAAAATACCAAAAATACAAATGAGAATATTATAGTGTCAACCCATTTGTAAGCACCTACATTTTGTTAACATTCGACAGTGATATGTTTATTTGGGATTATTAATTACTCTTAACAATTATATGTGATCTGATCAACAGTCATCTGAGTCTGTCTTTAGTCTTTCCCTTATATTTTTTCTTTTAATTCTAGGTATCTGTAATTCTTGCCCACCAAACAAGCCTACAGAATCTGTTCAGTCAAATAACTCCAGCTCATTTCTGAATTTTGGTATGTGTGTCATTTTACTGAAGAGTTAAACAAATTACCTAAATTACTCATTTACAGTATAACAGATACAACTTTAAATATGATTTTAGGTTGCACGTATAGGTCCTTATGTTTATATTCTTTTCCATGCAATTTATCTTTTTATTTTTAACCTTAATATCTCTTAACATCTCACACAGAACTAAATTATCTAGTATATGTGGAAAATAAAGCTAGGTAACCAAATGATTGTGTTGGCATGTAGTAAATAAATATGACTATCCAAATGAAGAAATTGAGATGCTGTGATATTCCGGTTCATATCTAAAGCAAATTTATGAAAAACATACAAGTATGATAAAAAGAACAGCAGTTGCCACTATTTAGTCTCATATAACTAATTCAATAGTAGGAAATGAAGCACAATTCTGACAGTCTTAAGGTTTGCTTACCCAATTGCTCCTAAGTTAAGCTATAAACTTAAAATGATAATTTTATATTATTCTAAGCATTCTATTATTCTATGTGATACATATTTATGATACTATTTAAAGTAGTATCAGGTATAATTTTTTGTAAGAAGAATAGCAATTAGTAGTAGGCTATTACTACTAAACATTATTATTAATTAACCCCCTGAAAGAGTGTGAGGCCTCCAGGAGTCCCTGAATCACACTTTGAGAACTGTTGCTTAATGGTATTGTCCTTACTTACACAATCAAAATTAGGTTGCTGTCACATCCAGACTGTAGGTGGCAAGAAAAGAGGAAAAAGTGGAGGTGTGGCCTCCTCTTCTTACTCTACAAAGGCACTGGCCCGGAAATGGCCAGATCATATCAGCTCACATTCCCTTGAAGAGAACTCAGACATGTGCTATAATTAAACTGCAAAAGAGACTGGGAAATGTAATATTGCTGGGCAGACAGAAAAAATTGCCTACATACAATTCTATTTGAGGAAGAAGCAAAGAGGATATTGGTGGATGGGGAGCAATATCTGCCATGCCTAAGTTAGAGTCCCTGTGTCATCTTCACAAAATGTTTAACTAAAATCTCTGGATCTGTCTTTTTTGCCATAAAATTTTGTTTGAATTTCATTAACTCTAAGGTTTAAAAAGTTATAATCTAGGCTGGGAGGGGTGATTCACACCTGTAATCCCAGCACTTTGGGAAGGCGAGGCGGGTGGATCATGAGGACAGGAGATCGAGACCATCTTGGCCAACATGGTGAAACCCTGTCTCTACTAAAAATACAAAAATTAGCAGGGCATGGTAGCACATGCCTGTAATCCCAGCTACTTGGGAGGCAGAGGCAGGAGAATTGCTTGAACCAGGGAGTCGGAGGTTGCAGTGAGCTGAGATCGCGCCACTGCACTCCATGTTGGTGACACAACGAGACTCCATCTCAAAAAAAGAAAAGTTATAATTTAAAAAATAAGTTATGATTTACACGAAATCACTTAGCTAAAACATTCACATAGAATATTGTAAAAACTACGAAAAAAGCAAGCCAGGCATGGTGGTTTATGCCTATAATCCCAGCACTTTGGGAGGTTGAGGTGCGAGGGTCCCTTGAGCCCAGGAGTTGAAGACCAGTCTGGGTAACACAGTGAGACAATCTCATTTTAAAAAAAAAAAAAAAAAAAAAAAAGGAAAAAAGAAAAAGAAAAAAGCTCCCTACTTTGCCCGGAACATAAATGTTCTCTGCTTCCTTCTTTACTCTAAATCAGTGATACAACTTGAGTAACTCTAGGCCTACCTAGCTTAACAACAGTCTATATAATCTAATATGAGGATAAAATATTAGAGAGCTGCCTCCATGTTGCTTCTTCTCAAATATGCCTAGATTTGAACATTTTACCTACTTAAAAAGCAGCACTTTCATGCCTGTAATTCTAGCACTTTGGGAGGCTGAGGAGGGAGGATTGCTTGGGGCCAGGAGTTTGAGACCAATCTAAGCAACACAGTGAGACTCTGTCTCTACAAATTTTTTTTTAAACTAGCCAGGCATGGTGGCATGTGCCTGTAGTCCCAGCTACTCAGGAGGCTGAGGTGGGAGGGTCACTTGAGCTCTGAAGGTTGAGGCTGCAGTGAGCTATGATCACGCCACTGCACTCTAGCCTGGGTGACAGTGAAAGACCCTGTCTTGGAAAAAACCCCCAAAACATCAGCACTTACTTTTTTAAGGCAATATCAATTTAAGTGCATGTTACTCAAAAAAGTACTTAAATCGGAATGAAAAAAATTTGTGATTCAGGTTTATTTTCCCTGAATTGGCCCACATGCAAAAAAAGGTAGCTCGAAACTGTTTTAAACTACTGAGAATTGACCAGAGAAAGAGACTGAATATAGGTATTCCTACAATTTTAGGTACTCAGTACTAATATATATCCATATCTCTATTCCTAGTCCACTTGGGTTACAATCAAGTGATCTGTACTGACAGGATGATTCTGACTATTGTGTGTGAAACAATTTAACCAAAAGTATTCCTTCCATCTTCTTTCTTACCACTGGGAAGAGTAAAATGTACATCAACTAGGCTGTGCGTCCCCTCCACCAATTTTTTTTAATCACCACCATTAAGAAATTTGAATGTGCTTTTTTTTCTTGAATCTTCTTTCCCCTTCCCTACTCTTCTTCTCTTCCAGTTCTGGCATAGTTTTCTAGGTTGGAAATTTTCTTTTTCTTTCTTTCTTTTTTTTTTTTTTTTTTTAAATGGAGTCTCACTCTATCACCCAGGCTGGAGTGCAGTGGCACAATATCGGCTCACTGCAACCTTGGCCTCCTGGGTTCAAGCGATTCTTCTGCCTCAGCCTCCCGAGTAGCTGGCATTACAGGCACTCGTCACCATGCCCAGCTAATTTTTGTATTTTTAGTAGAGACAAGGTTTCACCATGTTGGTCAGGCTAGTCTTGAACTCCTGCCCTCACGTGATCCACTCACCTTGGCCTCCCAAAGTGCTGGGATTACAGGTGTGAGCCACCATGCCTGGCTTCTGGGTTGAAATTTAAGCAACATTTGAGTAGTTACCATGTGCTTGAATTCCTGGCTTCAAGCTATCTTCTATACTCACCTCCAAAAGTGCTGGGAATATAGGTGTGAGCCAACATGACTGGCCTGAGCAACATTTGAGTACTTACTATGTGCCAGGCATTGTGCTGGATGCTGTGTTTTTGTTTTTGTAATTCTTTTTTTTTTTTTTTTTCTTTCCCTCTGCAGCCTTGACCTCCCTGAGCTCAAATGATTTGCCCACCTCAGCCTCCTGAGTATCTGGGACCAGAGGTGCAAGCCACCATGCCCGGCTAATTTCTTTTTGTATTTTTTTGTAGAGACAGGGTTTCACTATGTTGCCCAGGCTGGTCTTGAACTCCTGGGCTCAAGCAATCCACCTGCCTTGGCCTCCAAACCTGTGGGATTACTCAAAGGCGTGAGCTACTGCATCTCCTCCCATTTGCTTTTTACACAAATATCTCATTTGATCCTTACATCAGTTTTTTAAGGTAGACAGTACAACTTGTATGATGATGAAATTAAAGGTTTAGGAATATCTTTGAGTTTTCCATTTTATTATTCCTCTATACTTCAAACCTTTCATTTCTCACTGTAAGTTTCTAAAGTTGCTAAGTGTAAGATAACTGAAAAATACACTGCCATTAGGCCTGGCTTAGTGGCTCACACCTATAATCCTAGCACTTTGGGAGGCCAAAGTGGTCAGGAGTTTGAGACCAGCCTGGCCAACAGGGTGAAACCCCATCTCTACTAAAAATACAAAAATTACGCAGGCATGTTGGCTGGCGCCTGTAATTCCGGCTACTCAGGAGGCTGAGGCAGGAGAATCGCTTCAACCCAGGAGGCGGAGGTTGCAGTGAGCTGAGATCGTGCCACTGCACTCCAACGTGGGTGACTGAGCAAGACTCCGTCTCAAACAAAAAACAAACAAACAAAAAGACATTACCATGAAAGAAAAGTCATAAAGTCATATGTTGCTGAAATGATAAAGAACCAACATCATCAACCTGCATACCTTTTGAAAACATCCAGAAATAGCCTTCATTAGTTGTGAAAAATTTTCTCATCCTCCTTTTTTGGGGTAGGGTAGGGGGAACAAGTTTGAAGAAGAAAGATAAATAATAATGATTACTTACCTACTTCGTTTTTCGGAATTGTTTATTTTTTTCTAAGCTTTTCAAACATACTCTCTTAGTAAATTGAAGGATTTCTGGACTGACATAGAAGTATATCTAGATGTAATACAATAATGTTATAAGTAACGGTGCTATATTTTTGTGAAATTAAAATTTCCCAGCTTCATTTAATGGGAAGGAGTGGATGACAAAAAGTCATAGATAAATGATATTATATACTAAATTATCAAAGGCTATATATAACCAGGATCCTACATTCTATTATTACCATTATTAAATTTGTAAGTGCTCTTCAAATTTAAAGTGTTATTAGTATTCTGTTATCATTTAAACTTTATATTACTATAATCCCTTTATAATCTATCACTAAATTGGTCAAGATGCTGCCTAAACTTAAAAAAAAAGACCATGTATTTGCATATATTATACTCTAAAATCCAAGTATTCATTTCTATACTTAAAACATCTTTTTCATTCAACTTCATTTTTGTTCCCAGGTTTTGCAAACCGTTTTTCAAAACCCAAAGGACCAAGGAATCCACCACCAACTTGGAATATTTAATAAAACTCCAGATTTATAAGAATATGGGCTGCAAGTACACCTGCAAATAAAACTACTGGAATACTGCTAGCTAAAATAAATGCTCTATATGCATAATATCAAATATGAAGATATGCTAATGTGTTAATAGCTTTTAAAAGAAAAGCAAAATGTAAGTGCCAGTTTTGCATTTTCATATCATTTACACTGAGTTGAAAACTGCAAATAAAAGTTTGTCACTTGAGCTTATGTAGAGAATGCTATATGAGAAACACTTTTAGAATGGATTTTTCATTTTTGCCAGTTATTTTTATTTTCTTTTACTTTTTTACATAAATGTAAACTTCAAAAGGTTTGTAAGATTTGGATCTCAACTAATTTCTACATTACCAGAATGTACTATAAAAAGTTAAAAAAAGAACTTACCTTGTGGGTTGCAATACAAACTGCTCTTGACAATGACTATTCCCTAAGTTATTTTTGCCTAAATGAAGTATACCTTGTAAATCTTCCCAAATATTGTGGAAAACTGGAATATTAAGAAAATGAGAAATTATATTTACAAAAATAAAATGTGCAAATAATGACAATTATTTGAATATAACAACAAAGGAGTTCAACTGCATTACTGATAAGTTTTAATCAAAGTCATTAAATTACCAATTCTAGAAAAGTAATCAATGAAATATAATAGCTATCTTTTGGTAGCAAAAGATATAAATTGTATATGTTTACACAGGATCTTTCAGATCATGTGCAATTTTTATCTAACCATCAGAAATACTAGTTTAAAATGAATTTCTATATGAATATGGATCTGCCATAAGAAAATCTATTTCAACTCTAATTTTATGTAGTGAATTGGCGGGTAATTGTGTTTTACAAAGAATCCACCTGACTTCCCCTAATGCATTAAAAATATTTTTATTTAAATAACTTTATAACTTTTGGAAACACGTAGTATTGTTTAAACATCATTTGTTCTTCAGTATTTTTCATTCAGAAGCCCAATAGGACAAACTGAATGAAATATTATTAGCTGTCTGTTATAGTACAATGTATCCAATAGATAATCAATAAACTTTTTTGTTTTTAAACTGACTTCATTGCAGTAGTGTTTAGGTAATACTTCTCCAGAAACTAGTGAAATCAAACCACAGTAATTTTATCTGCTGAGTATATATATCATGGTAATCAATTACTTCCAAATGTCTTTAACAAGAAACAAATATATTAAAAGAATCCTAGGTAACTATGAGTCACCTAGGGCGCCATGAGTGCACCTGTAGACCCACCTACTCAGTCCTTGAGCCCAGGAGTTGGAGGCCAGCTTGGTCAATAGAGCAAGACCTTGTCTCTCTCTCTCCCCTTTTTTTTAAGAGTCAGGGTCTGGATCTGTCACCCAGGCCAGAGTGCAGTGGCGCGACCACTCCTCCCACCTTAGCCTCCCGAGTAGCTGGGACTACAGGCGCGTGCCACAACACCCAGATAATTAAAAAAATATTTTTGTAGGGACAGAGTCTCACTGTTACCCAGACTGATCTCGAACTCCTGGGCTCACGCGATCCTCCCGCCTCGGCCTAAGCTCTGGGATTGCTGGCCCAAGACACAGAGTCTCTAAATAAATACCTAAAAGAACCCCAGGTAAAAGCTAAAGCGAGGATGAAATTCTAAATGAATTTCTGAGCAGCAGCTATCCGTAGTGAACAGTGACGATTTGTGGTGTGTTCTCTGCTAGGCACACTTTTCAAATTTATGCAACCTTATCCTTAAGAGTTGAAAAAAAAAAACTTACAAAAAATCTTAAACATGGTTTTCCATCTACAATTTTTCTTAACTGTAGGGATATATTAAAAATAAATGCTAGACTCTTCCAGGCATTAGAGGGGATGTGGCCCGATGGCAAGGAGGGGCCGCCCCCACCAGGACCCCAAGCAGTTCTCGGACCTGACTTCGTAGGTCTGTAGTTGTAACCATAGCAATGCCCCAGATGCTTGAAAACATTTCTGAATTGCGGCCCTATCATATTTTTACAGCAAAACCACCCTTATTTTACATATTACTAAATCTTCTTTTCACCTTCATTTCATCCCTCGTAAAAGTTTAAAGGATGAAGATTTTTTTACCTGACAAAGGTTATGAGAGAAATATTAAATGTAAAAGTTACTGTGGAGACCACCTCCTCCGTGTAAACGAGGAAGGGTCATAGGAAGATGCTAATGGGAACGCGCCGCCAGACTCTAAAAGCCATTAACATTGTTTTGGCCGTTAGGGCGGTTGGCGGCAACTCACCGCCCAGCGGCGGTTGCGTCGCAGCCAGAAGCGTGACTCCGCGCACGCTCCCTTTCCGCTCCTCCACTCAGAGCCGGGGACGCGGCGCGGGGCGCGGCGGAACTACAGCTCCCATCATGCTTTGCGCGGCACACGGTGCTTTACAATAGAAGCTCGGTTGGAGAGGCCTGCGGAGAAAAGCTGGGAACGGCCGCTTCCGGCATGTTCATCTCTGTACGAAGAACAGCCGACAAGTGGAGGGCGGAGGAGAGACTCCAATGCCCAGCGGGCAGTGCGCGGGCGGCGCTTGCGCGATGCGCGGACGGGGGGGCGGTCGGGCCATTTAAATGTGTGTTTGTGGGTGAAATGGCTGCGCAGGTCGGAGCGGTGCGCGTAGTACGGGCGGTGGCGGCGCAGGAGGAGCCGGACAAAGAGGGGAAGGAGAAACCTCCTGCTGGGGTCTCCCCGCGGGGAGTGAAACGGCAGCGCCGATCTAGCAGTGGGGGGTTTCAGGAGAAGCGGGGACGGCCGAGCCAGGAGCCCCCTCTCGCTCCCCCTCACCGGCGGCGTCGCAGCCGCCAACATCCTGGGCCGCTGCCGCCAACGAATGCAGCCCCAACTGTCCCAGGCCCTGTTGAGCCTCTTCTCCTGCCGCCTCCGCCGCCACCTTCGCTGGCACCCGCCGGGCCCGCTGTCGCTGCCCCTCTCCCGGCCCCAAGCACCTCGGCCCTCTTCACCTTCTCGCCTCTGACGGTGAGCGCGGCCGGGCCCAAGCATAAGGGCCACAAGGAGCGGCACAAGCACCATCACCACCGCGGCTCCGATGGTGACCCCAGCTCCTGCGGAACCGATCTCAAGCACAAGGACAAGCAGGAAAACGGCGAGAGGACTGGAGGGGTGCCTCTGATCAAAGCCCCCAAGAGAGGTGAGAGCAGGCAAACTGCCCGACTTGGGTTCTAGGTCTCTCTCAGTTCCGATATCCTGCATCTTTAGGACTGAAAGACGCCAAACCCCTGCTTACCTTCTGCTGCTCTACTTCCCTAAGCTCACTGGGGTGGACCCTGGATTTTAGATCGTTGACACGGTTTGATCTAACTACTTGAGGCTTCTCGCTCCGAGGCCGAGCTGTCAGTTACTAATCCCTTTGCCAGTCCCCCGGAACCTCAGCATTTGTTTTCAAATTCTGCAGGGTTTCCGCGCCGCGTTAGATTAGTAGGTGGGGTACTAAAAAATGCCTTTCCAAAGAAAAGACATGTTGCTAAAATCCCTTCTCCTTGTTTTGCTTGCTGGAAAGCTTTAGTATCCGCTCTCCCTTGCGCCAGAATAGTCAGGGGTACGGTTCCAGTCTTTCAGAAGGGAATTCATATAAAGGTTACACGACTCACTGGTTGACTTAGCTTCTGCAAGATAAAATATCACACGCAATTAATCTTGGTTCTTTTTAATCTAGAGATAAAAATCATTTTAAAGTTTTCATATTATCCATTTAAATTCTTAGAATAGTCGTGTGGAAGTTTTCTCTACCCTTTGATACTAGGAAATAGGACCAACAGTGCCTCTGAAAAGTGGGAATTTGTGCAGTAGATAGTAGAGGCTGGAATTCCAGTTGCATTTGATTCTGTCTAGCACAATTTGTGAATCTGTTAATTCCAATAGCCCTCAAGAATATTTAACTAGAAAATGTCAGAGTATCCAATTAAATGTGGGTTCTAGAAAAATTAGATTGGCCAAAACTGATGTCTTCCTGTTCCCAAGTACCTGTAGCATTTATTTATATTCTTTGTGGAACAAATATGATGCTTTTGATTATGCCATATGTTTGTACTTTATATATTATTTTATATAATTTGCTAGTTGTTTTTCCTCAGGGGGATTTAAAATACTTCTTTGTTTCTTAGTACTGGGCCAGTTAGGTTATTACGTGTTAATTAACCGATCTTTCAACCTAAAGTTTTGTGAGTCTTGCATTCTTTCCACGTATTGGGTCTTAAGGCTAATCATTTTTTTTTGGTGGTGCTGTTTCCAAATAGTGTAGTTCATTGCAAATAATTGGTCAATAAGTATTTATTGAATAGCATTAAATTTTTATTCATTTGGTGGCATCCAAATCTTATCCTTGGCAGTAGAATTTGTGGCAAGATGACAGAATTGCCAGTTTTCACCACCAATATGCAATGATCTTGCTCTCTTTTTATTTTTACCTTTATTCCCTACTTTCTCATTTCGTGTGTGTGTGTGTGTGTGTGTGTGTGTGTGTGTGTTTTAACTGTACAGAACTAGAGGGAATCAGTGATCCTCTGGCTTAAATTTGTATTGTAGAAAAGGAAACTGAGGCCCAAAGTGGTAAAGAGGCCTGCTTAATCAAATCACAGTTAATTCGCACCAAGTGCAAAAAATTTAAATATTTTTTAAAAAGATGAATTATTGACATAACAGAGAGTAGAAACCAGACTCCTGAATCCTGCTTCGAGCTTCATCTCCAGGCCTCATGATGTTGCTTTCTCTTCCTGCTCTTCATTTTTTCCACTCCTTTGTTTACCTTTTCCCTGTGCTTTGACATTACAGTGGCTTTATATCATCAAGGATCCCTGACCTGGCCCTGTTTTATGTGGAATAGTGGCAATAGCATGTGTAATAATTCACAATCTGCTTCTCTGAAGATTACACAGGCCCCATGTTCTTTAAAAAACACGCTTCTGACCCAATGCTGACTGATAGAACTTTCTCAGATGATGGAAATTTTCTGTATTTGTGCTGACCAATATGGTAGCCATATGTGGTTCCTGAACAGACTTGAAATGTGGCATGATTGAGGAACTGAAATTTTGATCTTATTTAATTCTAATTAATTTATAATTAGTCACATATGGCTAGTGGCTACCACATTGGACACCACCACTCTAAATATCTGTAGTTTGCCAATATGTGAAGAAGAGAAGTGGGTTAAGATAAGTCCATTTAAACATTTTAACTTTTGACTGAGAGATTGTTGGATTATATACCCAAACTATATTTTGGGTGAAAAAGAGTTTTTTGGTCAAATACGTTTGAGAAAAACTGTATACTGTAGCCTTCTACATATGTAATATGAACTGGCAAACTGGCATTTTAAAAGTTTTGAAAACCCTACAGAAAATAAACTGATTTAACTTTGTTCAATCCAGGGTTTTGCACATAGTTGGACTGATACCTTTCTTGTCCTGTGAACATGTTTGTTGTTACAGTGGTATGCAGGAGGCATGCCTCTGGTATTAATCTGAGTTTAAATCATGACTCTCTTACTGTGTGAACCTGAACAAATTGCTTTACCCTCTCTCAACCGCACTTTTCCTGTCTGTAAAATGGGATTGTGGTATTTCATTTATAAGGACCTTGTATGGATTAAATAGGGCATTGTGTCAAAGTACTTACAACAGTGCCTGGCTCATGGTAGGTACTTAGTTAAAACCAGCCTTTATTATTTTATTATGCATGGTCCTTAAAACAATTCTAAGATTAATAAGGAGAGTGGGCAGATTCTTGTTACTTGCAAAGCTATGTCTTTCCTTCGCTTATCCTCAGATTTTTGGAAACTATTTTAACTTTTTTTTTTTGAGATAATTAATGATTGACAGGAAATTGCAAACATACTCGAGTTCTTACCTTTTACCGGTTTCCCTCAGTAGCTACATCTTACGTAACTATTGTATAATGCCAACACCAGGAAATTGACATTGGAACAATGTATATGTAGTTATATGCTATTTTATCATATGTAGATTAGTGTAACCACCACTACAATCAAGATACAGAACTATTCCACCACCACAAACCCTTTACAAACTTAGGCACTCCCTCTATCTCTCTATTGTCCCTGTCCCCTGGCAACCACTAACCTGTTTTTCATCTCTGTAATTTTGTTATTTTGAGACTATTATATAAGTTGAATCATACAGTATGTAGTCTTTGGAGATTGCCCTTTTTCACTCAGCATGATGTCCCTGAGATCCATCCCTCTTTTTCACTGATGAATAGTGTTCCATGCTATGGATGTACCATGGTTCACCTATTGAATAATTCCCCTATAAGAAAGGACATTTTGATTATTTCTAGTTTTGCGCTATTATAGGTAAAGGTTCTATGAAAATTCATGTTCAGGTTTTTGTGTGCATGTAACTTTTCATTTCTTTGGTCGTATGGTAAATACAGTTAGCCCTCTGTATCCATGGGTTCCACATCCCTGGATTCAGCCAACCTGGGATTGAAAATATTTTCAAAAAAAATTGTCTGTACTGGACTTGTACAGATTTTTTTTTCTTGTCACTGTTCCCTAAACAATACAGTATAACAATTATTTATATAGCATTTACATTGTATTAGGTATAAATAACCTGGAGATGATTTAAAATATAGGGGAGGATGTGCATAGGTTATAAGCAATTATTATGCCATTTTATATGAAGGACTTGATCATCTTAGATTTTGGTGCCCTGGGAGACTCTGGAACCAATCCTCCGTGGATACCAAGGATGACTGTATATGTTTATTTATTTTGTTTGTTTTTTAAGATATTGCCAAATTATTTTCTGGAGTGTCTGTACCATTTTACATTCCTGTCCGCGATGTAAGAGAAATCCAGTTTCTCCACATTCTTGCCAGTATCTGGTATTGTCACTATTTTTAGCAATTTTAATAGATATGTAGTGATATATCATCATGATCTTAATTTGCATTTCCCAAATGGCTAGTGATATTACACATCTTTTCATATCATAATTTGCCATCTATATATCCTGGTCAGTAAAATGTCTCTTTATACCTTTTGCCTATTTTCTAATTGAATTGTGTGTGTGTGTGTGTGTATATATATATATATATTTTTTTTTTGAGACAGAGTTTTGCTCTTGTTGCCCAGGCTGGAGAGCAATGGCAAGCTTGGCTCACTGCAACCTCTGCCGCCTGGGTTCAAGTGATTCTCCTGCCTCAGCCTCCTGAGTCGCTGGGATTACAGGTGCCCGCCACTACGCCCAGCTACTTTTTTATATTTTTAGTAGAAATGGAGTTTCAT